CTGACTATTACATTCAATCCACAATGCCAATGGCAACAATCTGTCATCTGCAACTCCTTCCTTCGCTACTCAGCTTCATCGCATAGTTTCTTATCCATATAGTATCATTGATCAACCCGTCGTATTTTTTCACATCCTGATTTCATCCGTTCAATCTTGATAGTTTAGTGAGTGAGACAGCTGGTGATAAGAATGAGTTACAGTTATCCATGATCCCACAAACGAAGATAACCATGTGCTAGGTGCTCCATGGGATATAAAGTTGAGATAGGCAAAGTATTCCACCCACAGTTGCCCTAATATTGATCTGTGACTTTCTGCAGAGAGAAGAACACTGACGATTTCATGAAGAATCCGGGAAATGCTACAAAGTGGCATCTACTATGTCACTGAATGTTGCATAAGAGAAAAGGTTGAGTGGCACCGTGGATGCCACTTCGTAGCATAGTTCCCTGATGTGTGGTACCACGAAAGATTGTGTGAACGAGCAGTGACAATTTTTTACTCTGAACTGAGCTGAGTGGTTGAAGGTACAACCATTTTCACGTTATTACCCGGCTGCTCCGTAGTCACTGGCGTCTTCCGGATTATATTTATTCCACTCTGAACCAGAAACTTTTGTATTTTTCACGGATAAACTTGCCTATTTTTATTTCAGCGGAATGACGTGCTTGATTTGTTTGTACGATTTCCGAAAATTCAAACTTGATGCGTTCAGTCAGAACAAATCTTTGTCATCTTCCGTTAAGTCCACTTGCAATGATTGACAACTGTGAGTCGTTTTTAACAAACAGTGAAAGATTGAGACGGGGCAGTCGGCTCTCCGCACCAGATACACAGACAATTGAAGGAGTGTTTGAATTGACCTATGAGTTGTGATCACTCATTGTCATCTGATACAGTTAAATCGAATACAAGATAAATGAATCAATGTTGAAACTTTTCGACTTTGTGTTTCCAGCTTATTGAACCACCTGGTATAGCAAGGACAGATCATTAGATATTGTGTCATATAAGCTAGAACAAAGTGGAAACTGTTGTTACCTTAGCCATAGGAGTGATTGCCCTATATTCCTGTGACACCTTTTACTTTATCCCCCTGGCCTTATTTGCTGTCTTCTTCTTACATTTTTACATTTGTTGTATTCATTCTTGACTAACACCTTTCATATCTTGATCCGATAGATTGTTGCCCACACGCACATTCACTACCAACATAAGTTTTGTATTAATCTACTGTCAAACGAAACTATACATGTATTTGCTTGAAGCGATGCATAAGTCAGACTGCTCATTCAGATAAAGAAACCACATTCCCTTCCATTCCATCCACACAACCCGAGTGAGAAATCTGTCGAACTTATNTAATCTCATTATGACGGTAACCGCGTCAAGCATCGTCATGCTTTATGAACATCCGGTGATACAATCTAATAATCGGGATGACGCAACAATTAATCTGTAGGAAAATAATAGACTAGAAACAAGAAAACAGTCCAAAAGGTTTGTGGTGGCAACAATAGTCCTTTGGATTATGATTAGGCAACTGTGTTGTAGTTTCTATAATAAAGAGAAACATTGGCAATTTAGGTTTCTTGTTCAAAATTCGATAATCATCGGTGGTTTAGTTTACTTAGCTGATATAATTATCCGATGAATTACCGCTGGACAGTTATATCTATTTTCCGTGCTGTGGCATATAGCAATGGACTGTAGGGATAGTATACTATAGGCGTACGACAGTGGTGATGACTGGTTGGTTTTCGCGGCGTCATTTGGTATGAAGAAAATGAAAGCAATGATACGGATAAAAAGACATCAGAGGAACCATCAGAATTAACCCATGGAGTGAGACGATTCAAGAAGTTATCGAATCGCGATGTAGGTGAATTGATTTTATCGTCTTCGTCATCATCGTACAGCGAAATACAGTGAAACGAACTTTACTGATCGCTGCCAAACTCGTAATGTATACAAGATTAGGGGTAATATTTAGGGTTGACAGGGATCGTACCTATTTTGGCTAGGGGAAGAAGATGAACCTCTATGGTCAATACAGAGTCTTTCGGACCGCAACCTGGAATGCGCGAGAGACCTACTCTGTGAATGGGAGATATAATTTGGAAGGTTCCGTCATTACTGAAGTGAATATGCCGGATAACCGAGAAATTTCGTAGAATTCAGGGCACATTTACAATTACACTAGGCTGGTTTTCCGCTTTGCGCTTGCGGACAATTTCATACAGAAGCAGTCCATCGGTAGGTAGTGTTTTGATTGAAGGCGAATCAAGACAGGCAGTTCACGCATTGTTAAGACCAAACAATCTTCTAAAACCAGTAGACTAGGTTAAACAGGTAGATCTTTTGCAAAAGGTACAAACTATCTACTACTGGGGTTTATTCCATTTTAGTCAAAATAATCACCAATAGTTGGATTTATTTTCATGGTGTAAAGTGTTTCTACAAGACTGGGTTGGTCCAGCACCCAGTCTAACTCTAACTGTGGAAGTAGTAGAGCAAGTGGGTAAGTTTTGTTATTT